GGCGCCTCTTTGTAGTTAGATGCGTCCCCGGCCCCCGCCCTGGGCCGCGCACATGCCGCCAGCCATGATTTGCGACCCCCCGCTCGTGGACACCCCCCTCGTGGCCGCCCCCGACGTCAGGAGCCCGCTTTTTCCCGTGTTTTGAACATGGTGCTCTCGTTCCCCGTGTCCTAAGTGTAGGGCTATTGTTACGTGTGTCGCCTCCGCCTCCCTCCAGTCGGCCTCCTTCCTCCTTGCTCCCATACCAGGACTCACTGGCACTTGGTCCACTCATACCCAGGCTCATTTACACAGACTCACGCATACTCAGAGTTACGTACCCATTCTGAGTGAGTCTGGCGGCCTCACTCATACACGAATCTAATCACACGCAGACTCAACCCCAGGACACTCACACCCAGACTCGCCCACATCTGGAGTCATTCATATTCAGACGACGCATACTCAGTCCAAGTCGTATTCTGATTCAACCACAGATCACTCATATTCAGACCCACTCGTACTCAGGCTCGCACCCACACTCACTCTGCCCCCGACCAAGGGTGTTCCCACGGGCCCGTTCGCGTCCAGCCTTATCTGGAACTCTCGGGCAGAATTGCCGTTCTGGAGGCAGACGTGTATGCAGTAGGCATGGTACTCAGACCACCCAGGGGGTGGCCGACCAAGGGTGTTCCACGGGCACGTCGGCGCCCCATATTGTTGTGGGGACCTCTCAAGCAGAATCGCTTTCCGGGAGGTTGACGCAGGCGCTTGCCGAGCCCCATGATCATCGCGATGTCGCAGCCATGGCACTCGGGGGCCTCCCAAAGGGGCGTCGACCAGGGGTGTCCCACGGCTCCAGAGCCCCACGCTTGGCAGGCATGCTTGCTCATGATCATCGCGGTGCAGCAGGCATGGCACCTGGGCATCTGGAGGGAGTGTCGGCCAGGGCTCTGCTAATTTTGCCGACCAAAGGTGCTTCACAGGGCCGTTCGCGCCCAGATTGCCCGGACCTCGCAGGCACAATTGCCGTTTGGGGTGTAGACACGTGTCCGATCACAGCTTCAGGGCCATCGCGATGCAGAAGGCATGGCACTCGGGCCTCCTCAGGGGGGGCCTGCCAAAGGTGTTCCACGGGGCCTGTTCGCGCCCATTTCAGTTGCCTCTCGCGCGGAATGACTGCTTTGGAAGATGGACGTACACATGCTTTGACAGTCCCAGGATCATCGCGATGAAGCAGACCTGGCACTTGAGCCAAGGGCGGGACGATCGTGGGTGTTCCACGGGCCTGTTCGCGCCCAGATTGTCTGGACATCTCAGGCGGAATGGCAGCTGCGGGAGGAAGACATGTGTGCGTGTGGGTGTGCGCATGTGGGCGTGTGCGTGTGCGTGTGCGTGTGTGCGTGTGTGTGTGTGTGTGTGTGTGTGTGCGTGTGTGTTGTATGTGTGTCTGTGTTTGTTTGTGTGTGTGCGTTTGTGTGTGTGTGTGTGTGTGTGTCTGTGTCTGTGTCTGTGTCTGTGTCTGTGTCTGTGTCTGTGTCTGTGTCTGTGTCTGTGTCTGTGTGTGTGCGTGTGCGCGTGTGCGCGTGTGCGCGTGTGCGCGTGTGCGTGTGTGTGTGTGTGTGTGCGTTTGTGCGTTTGTGCAACACCAGGGTTGCCGGCCGCTCAGCTCTGCTGCGCTCGCCACAGTCGCGCAGTATTGATCGCTACTGGCCGTCCTTGCTTGTCGTCTCGTCCCTGCCGCGTGGCCTCTCTGTGCACCCACTTGTCTGCCTCTTGGCATCACTTATCCTGAAGAACGCCACTCTCGCTGTCCATACCTGGCTATGCGCAGGGCATGGTCGATCCCTTGTGGATCCTTGCCCCTTCTCCTGAGGGACTGGCCCCGCGCGCGGTCTAGTTTTTGGGGACTGTCTCCGCCTCGTCGCTGCGCGCGCGGCCGCGATCGCCAAAAGTGGGTGTGTGTATGCGTGTGTGTGTGTGTTTGTGTATGTGTATGTGTGTATGTGTATGTGTGCATGTGTGTATGTGTATGCATGTATGTGTTTGTGTGTGTGTGTGTCTGACTGTATATGTGTATGTGTGTATATGTGTATGCGTGTATGCGTGTATGTTTGTGTGTATATGTATGTGTATGTGTATGCGTGTATGCGTGTATGTGTGTATGTGTATGTGTCAGGCCAATTTGCGTTCGCGCCCAGATTGTCAGGACCTCTCCAGGAGAACGGCCGTTTTAGAGGCATACTACACGTTTTCACAACCCCATGATTATCGCGATTGTAGCCTGCGCAGCAGTTGGGCAACCAGAAGGGTGTGCCGACCAAGGTTGGTCCACTGGCGCGTTCGCGCCCAGGTTGGCGGGACCTCGCAGGAAAATTGCCGTGTAAGTAGAGGGACGCCTGTCCTCTCACAAACCCACGATCACCGAGTAGGCATGGGAATTGGGCCACCGAAGGGTGTGCCGACCAAGGATATTAACACGGGCCCTGTCGCGCCCCGATTGTCGGGATGTCCCAGGCACCCAGAATGCAGGACACCCTCACTCATTTGTGGGTTCCATCTTCCGACACATTCACATTCAAGCCCGCTCACTCCCAGACTGGCTCATATTCGTCCATGCGCAGTCAGGCTTGCTCGCACTCAGGCCCATTCGCATCTAGGCGGCCATACGGAGATACGGAGACGCACTCCAGTATGCCCACTCTTACCCAGACCAGTCACACCCAGACATTCAAAGACTGAGACAGTTTATCTCCGCGCTGGCATTCAAACCAATTCACACTCACACTCATTCACGCCCAGACCCATTCATATTCAGGTTCGCCCGCACCAAGATGTCCACGGATTAGCTATCCAACCTGGAATGCTCGCGCCCACGTCGTCGCCGCGCACACGAACTTGCCCTACTCGGTAGCGTGCTTCGGCATGGTTGTGGTTGTCCGTTTCTTGCTTCTTGTCCTCATCACCCACCTCTTCCTGCTCCTCCACCTTTCGCTTCCCCACCCTCCGTTCTCTGAGTCCTCTTCTCCGAGACCCGAAATCCTTCACATCACTAATGTTGGGTCTCGGAGCCCACAGGGCGGTTTTTCATGTTTTCCATTCGACGTTCCATGAAGCCCGATGTCATTCCGAGGCCGCGCGTCGAACGTTTTCGATGGCGCGTCGCGTTATGCGATGTCACGTGCGTTGGGGTCGTCAAAGGCTTGCGTGCTTGTTGCGGATCGGTTGATGTGGGTTGGGGTTTCTCAGGATTGTACATTGGCTTTGCGCTGGGGCGGTTTCGACCCCCATCCCTGGCAGATCCACCCCGCGGGTAACGTCGCAGGAAGAGTTCGAACATTTTGTTCGTAGTGCCAGCGATGCTGTCGCGGACATTGACCGCGCCACGGGGGGGGGTCGTCCAGAAATTTCCTACCATATTGCAGTGTTGGTTCTTCGTTTTCAAGGGACACCGACCCGCGTCATTCCTTCCGGCCTCCTCCCTCGTCCTCCCTCTTCGCGTATCTGCCCCTGCTCTCCGCGTGTCCCCGTCGTCACCGTCCATCGTCATCGTCGGCATCACCATCATCATCAGCATCGTCAGCATTCTCGTCGTCTCCATCATCAATACCACCACCATCCTTATCAACATCATCAAAACAGCCCCCTTGTTCCCCCGCGTCTCTGCTTCGCCACATCCCCCGCAAGTCTCGTGGCCTTGTGAGGTGCTCCACCGAAGGCCCCATCGGCAGGGTCCTTAGTGCGCCGCCCAGCCCATGTCGGCACGCCCCTCAGACGCTTCGTGTTCCCATGAGGGGCTCATCGGGGGTCCCGGCGGCAAGGTCCACATGCCGTCGCCCAGGCCACATTGACACACCCTCAAACATTTCGTGCCCCCATAGGCAGCTCCACCAAAAAAAGTCCCAGCGGCAGGTTTCCCAGGCCGCCGCCCAGCATATTTCGGCATACGTTTCACACGTTTCGTGGCCCCACGGGGAGCTGTACCGACGGCCCCACAGGCAGGGCCCACAGGCCGCCGCCCAGCCCATTCCGTCATACGCTCACACGCTTCGTGGCCCCAGTGGGGAGCACCCCCGATGGCCCAAGCGACAGGGTCCACATGCCGTCGCCCAGCCCATGTCGTCCACGAGTGGCGCCCAGCACGGCTCCAAGAGCGCCCCAAGAGGCGCCGAGTAAGTTGCACCCTCATGCAAATAGTTTTTGTCACTTGTGGGGGTCCTCTTGGGGCCCTCTTGGAGCATTCTTGGGGCCCTCTGGGAGCGTTCTTGGGGCCTTCCCGGGGCCCCAGTGGGCCCCCGGAGGGCCCCAAGAACGTTCCCCGAGGGCCCCAAGAGGGACCCCCCAAAGTGGTACAAAGAATTCGCGCGAACGTGCAATCTGTTGTAGGCCTTTCGGGGCCCTCTGGGAGCTCTCTTGGGGCCCCCTTGGTGGCGCCTTGGGGCCTTGGGATGGCTCCAAGAGGCTTCGGGATTGCCCCAGGCCGCCACAAGACAGCTCCGAGACGGCCGTCGAGCACCACGGGTGAAAGCAAGTAAGGCTAGGGAACAGGGCCTCTGGTAAGCCGCCACTGCGCCCCCTGGACTACCCAGACAGCGAGGGGACCTGAAACGCCCTGGGGCTCCAGGGGCCCCAGATTAGTGAAGTGAAGGTTTTTGCCATGCCAAGCACCCCGAAATTCTTCACTTCACTAAACCGGACCCAGGACGAACTCGCTACGCTCCAGTCCCGCGGGAGATCCGAGACTCCCGCCGCCGCCCGGGGACGCTGCTGCATTGCGGTGCTCTGGTCACTGTTAATGGCTTCCGCGGGCTGCAGCGGCTCACTTCCATGACTACCCCGACTCACGAATCCAGTGGTTGGTCTGGCTCTATGGGTTGGTTTCGTTGTGTCGGTTGATTTTATGTTTGGTTGGCGGTCGGTGGATTTCGCGTTGTTCATTGGTATCGTGAAGTGATTCGTCGTTTGGTTGGTCAGTGCCGTTTTGTTGGTTCGTGCCGTTTTGTTGGTTGGTGTTGTTTCGTTGGTTGGTGTCGTTTTGTTGCTTGGTGTCGTTTTGTTGCTTGGTGTCCTTTTGTTGGTCGGTGTCGATTTGTTGGTTTGTTGGTTGGTGTCGTTTTGTTGGTTGGTGTCGTTTTGTTGCTTGGCGTCGTCCTGGCGGCGTGGCCGATAATCGGCGGCCTGCAATGGCGCCAGGATTTGTTTCGGGCCAGCCTTGATCGCCCTCATCATTCTCATATTCGTCAGCGTCAGCACTCGTCGCCCCCATCCGCGCACACATGCGGCCCTGGTACGGCTCTCACGCGGCCCTGCGAAGGCCTTCACTGTGCTCCCCAAAGCTTTCTGAGGGGCCCCCCAGAGGCCCCAAGAGGGCACTGGAAATTGTCGCTTCCAACTCCGCCAGGCGGAGGTCAACAAGGGTCTCACTGGTGCACTTCCAGGAATCGTCGTTCGATCCTCTTGGGGCCCTCCTGGGGCCTTCTGGAGCCGTCTTGGAAGCTCCGAGCGGCTCCATGAAGGCGCCGGGCGATATCGCTTCCAATTCCGCCAGGTGGAGTTAGACCAGGGGCTCACTGAGGCCCCTTTTTGCGCCCTCCTCTGCCTTTGAAAAAGCCCCATGGGGTTCTTCAGTGCCGTCTTAGGGCCCCTAAGAGGCCTCCAGTAGGGTATTGAAGTTATCGCTTCCAACTCCGCCACGCGGAGTTGAACCCAGGGCGGCTCTCTGTGGCCTTTTCGGGGCCTTCTTAGAGCTTTTCTGAGGCCCTAAGTGGGCCCTGGGAGGTGTCATTTTCACGGGCGTTGAAAGTGACACCGCGGAGGGCCCTCTTGGGCCCTTCTTGGGGCCTCTCTTGGGTCCCTCTGGGAGCCCTCTTGGTGCCGCCCTGGGGCCTTCTCGGGGCCTTCTTGGAGCCTTTCTGGTGCTCTTTAAGTGGGCCCTGGGAGGTGTCACTTTCACGGGCGCTGAAAGTGACACCTCGAAGGGCCCGCTTTCCCTCGTAGCGCTGCCCGTGGCCGGGGCATTGTGCAGCGCATCCCTCGTCGAACGCATTTTGTCGGACGCGTGGTCGAATTCCGCCAGTTCGGTCGAGATGGTGGTCAAGCGGTTCGGTTGCAATGTAGCCATGCGGATCTGAGCTTACCATTTCTTGCCATTTTGGCGGGGGCTCGCAGGAGCGTTTTGTGTTGTGATCAACTGTGCTCGATATATCCAGTGGCAGCGTTTCATCCCAATCTATTATTTTGAAAAAGTCAGCAGGGGCCAAATTGGTGATGTGAAGCAACATAGGTCTCGTATCTTCCTCCTCAAGCTTCTTCTTCCCCAAACCTTTTTCTCCCCGCGTGGAAGGGTTTGAGGGTACCGTAGGCAGCGGCGGGGGAAACGACGTATTCCACGTCATGGCCCCCGTGCTAAATGTCTACACTAGAGACTAGAAGTGCAGGCATTCCGCATGCCACTCGATTGCAGCCCCAAGCGGCTCCACCACCACCTCATCCTTCTCATAGTGTTGATCGTCATTCGTTGTTCCACTTTCTGATCCCCGCCCTCCTCATAAGGGGGTGGCAGAATCGAATCTATATGTTGCGATATAATTTGCTGCCCCGAGAAGGCGTTCCTGCTGCATATGGGAACGTGTTGGCTTGGTAATGTGATTGATTTGTGCCGTGTCTAGCAATCAGCATCCTGAGCAAGGGCGCAGCCCACAAAAAGCATATAGGACTTCACATGCGCAGGTCAAGTACGTCTCGCCGAACATGCTGAACATGTGGTTTTGTGTGAGGGGTCGTCGGTGGAGTGCCTTGCATGGTTCCGCGGGCTCCTGGAGAGGCCATGGGGGTGCCTTTGGCAGTCCCGCGGGATTCTGCGACGTCACAGCGGCTTGCCTGGAACCGTCTTGTGCTTTCTCGAAGAGAAGCCTCCAGCGTCCTGAACAAGCACGACGGCAAGCGTCTCGGATTTCGGGCACTCGGACCGACCAGCTTCGGGCCTTGGGACTTGGGACAATCAAGAAATAACCAACGGCGCGAAATCTATTCTAATGTTGGGGCCGAGGGCTCTATAGCCCCTCGGATTGAACAGCAAATGCAGATTACTTCGGACGTAACGGAAAATGTCCAGTGCTGGTTTGGAGCAGTTGCGGAGCGGTGTCGAGTCGTCTCGGGGCTGCCTTGGATCCTTACAGGTGGTCTCTTGCCACTTTGCGTCCCTTTAGGCACCGTCAGATGCCATTCAGAAACCATCAGCTTGGGCCAATACCTGATGGAAGCCAGAAACACCGTGCTTCAATGTTCCGTGCCTTGGAATGGTCCTCCATGGGGATGCTGTAGATTCTGATCAGGGCATGTTCAGGTGGCATGAGGGGAAAGCGCCCTGAGAAGACCGATCCTTCAACTACTGCGCCAGATCTTCATCCCGGGCGTGTTTGGGCCAGAGAAGGGCTCCGAGGGGCCGCAATCGACGCCAAACCTCAGCACCCTCCTCCACCTTGTTTGGTTTCGTTTTCGCTCAGATGACCTGCTCAAAACGGGTCCCTGGACCGCCCTCCCGGGGTCCATCCTGGGCAGTTTTTGGAGCTGCGCCTAGCCGTGGCGACGAGAACCTCCAGGAACGCTTCGAGCGATCCCCACCCGAGAATCGGCGGCGAGCGATGGGGGGAAGTGAGAAGAGGCGGGCCTTCTCAGAAGGCTCAGAAGTCCACGGGCCTCCTGAGAAGTTGTCGAAGCCTTCCCCGAAGACACAGCAAACTTTTCAGAAGGCGCGAGGGTTTTTGAGAAGTCCCGCCGCCTTCCGAGAAGGCCTTCTCCTTCTCGCTTCCCCCCTTCGCTCGCCGCCGAGGGAAAGCGAGGCGGGAACCCCAAGGGGCGCGCTGCGCCCCTTGGGGCCTGGCGGCCGCGGCATGCAGTCGTCCTCGGTTCAAGACGCGAGGCGGGAGCGGAGTGGTAGGTCGACCCTACCAAATCAAGGGTGCCCTTGCGTCCCGTGTTCGGCGACCCATGCCTTTGCGTTCCTGTGGCAATGTGGCCCTCGGAGGGGTCTTGTGCCCCGACTGTGCCCAGGGAGCGCCGAGACCCTCAGGGCCCGGCGGCCACGGTAGGCAGCGTGCGCGAGGCGGGTCGGACTCTCTTCTCCCTGAGCTTACGTCGGGCGTGTCCCTCTACAGGAGGAAGATGCAAAATTAGTCAAAACATAGTCAGGGACGACGTTTTATCATTTAAACAAAAATGTTTCGCGTATTATTATTTTTCCCTCCAGCATCCCCCTGTGGGGGGACATGTCCGACCTCACCCTGAGCCTCACAAGCCCAACCTGTCGGCTGGGGAACCCTGAGATCCGACGTTGCTTTCAAAAGGCAACATCGCAAACAAAAACACGACCAGACCCCCAGACCCTATATGTCTGCGTCGTTTTTCGAGCCGGATCGATCTGTGAGGGTCCCTGGGCCCGAATTTGAGCGAAAACGCCCGGCTTGAAAAAATTGAGTCGCCACGATCTCAGGGAGCGACGATGAAACCTCATGCCGACCCAGCCAGACGTCCGGCCGCTCCAATTTTGTCGATGCGTGGGTCCCGGAGGTCCGACTTCACTTCCCCGGGGCCGGCTTTTCGTCCCGAGTCCTTTTTCCACGCTCCCGAGGCCCGGCGAGGGTCCCCGAAGGCCGAAAATTGCCCCAATCCCCGCGTTCCAATTTTTTCGGAGCGTCGGGTATCTGGGCGCATGCCGACCCGAGGAGCCGGGTGGCGAACCGCGCCTGGCGAGGGCCCCCGGAGGCCGAGCCCTGCCCCAACCCCCGCGCTCCAATTTTTTGGTAGCGGTGGGTATCTAGCGGGCCCCATACATATACATATATATATATATATATATATATATATATATATATATATGTATGTATACATACACCACCACCACCACCACCACCTCCATCCCCCTCCCCCCTCCACCCTCATCTTCCTTTCTTCTTTCCTGCAGGAGGGAGGGGATGAGGGAGGTCTATATAGTGGTGCATATACTGGGCCCCGCACATCTGGGCGCATGCCGACCCGAGGAGCCGGGTGGCGAACCGCGCCTGGAGCCAGCCGCCGGGGAGGGCGCCGGGACGGAGGGCGCGGCCAGCGCGGCCTGCGGCGCAGCCGCGCCGGGTGCCCGGAGGCCTCGCGGGGGAGACATTTTTGTCCTCCAAGCAGCGCCTGCAGTTTCAGGCGATCGCAAACATGGGCCAAGGGGGCGTGGATTAGCGACGGGTCCCGTTTCCATGGGAAATCGCGGATTGCCGCCACCAGACGAGGCGCCACCGGCCGCATTTTGGAGAGGGCGCCTCCCCCGATCCATGGATTTGGCGACCGCGCGCCAAATCGCTAATCCATGTATGTGCGCGCCCAGCATTTGGGGTTCTCCCTTGTCTCCATAAGGTTCAGTCGGGCGTGTCCCTCTAGAGGAGGAATACGCAAAAAGAGTCAAAGAATAGTCAGGGGACGATTTTTCGATTCTGTTTTGACTATTCTCGATTCTCCTTCCAAAATCCGCCTGTAGGAGGACATGCCCGGCCTAACCCTAAGGCATTGGCTGGTCTGTCTGGTCAGGCTTCGCGACGCTGCCGCACGTTGCTGCCTCGTTTCCGCGTCGTGCGCTGGGTGCGTCCGGCGAGGTTTCTCCAAGTTGCCGCCCGTTGCCGCTTTTAGCTTGCACCACTCGTTTTTCACCACATGCTTACACCACAAAGCTTGTGCCACATAGCTCACATATCCACAGTGCCATGACTTACTGTTTGGGGCCCGGACTTGTTCGCACCTTGTTGTCTGCTGTTCTTCTGGTCTTTGTGGAGGTTTCCGGTGTGCTGTCCGTCAGATGCGCCTCGTCGAGGACGTCCCTGGGATGCCGGGATCGTCTAGAGCGGCCGTCTGAGGCACGAGGTGTGGCCCGAAAGCCCACTGGAGGGGATCGGGGCGCACGTAGCGGGGGGACCGTGCTGACAGGCCGCCAGGTCCCTCTCTGATCCCCTCGGCCCAGGTCTGCGAGCCACGTGGAGCCGACACCCCTCGTCCCCGTCCCGCCGATCGCCTTCAAAAACCAGCTACCACGCGGCCTGCCAGGATTTCACGACAGAACCGGAGAGCAGCGCTGACCAGGATCAAGGCGTCCCTGGACTTGTCGCGTTTCAGGAAGGCCCTCACCTTCGGGGAACCGAGAGGTTGACATCCTGCCCTTGGCGGAAGGCCGCGGAAGTAAGTCGAGAGCGACTCCCTTGGCGGAAGATGGCAAAAGTGAAAGATGCACCCGCAAGGGTGTGTTTTCCCGAGCCGCCTTTCCCTGCATGTCTCTCATGGTGGTGAATAAGAACAACAGGAGCTCAATCCTGACAGCGTCTCGTTAGGCGGTTCAAATCTAGGTGGAAAACACAGTGGAGTCCCACAGGGAGAACAAGGAGCCCGTGATCGCCTTAGATCGCCCGGTCCAGCAGCCGTTTCGCCGTTCCGGGTGGGGGATGGGGGTCAAGTTTTTTCAAGTTGTCCACATGGTGTATGTTCAGGTTTCGTGATGTTACATGTAGCTGTTGTGAATCCGCTACCGTGTCAGCTGGGGGGGCAGGTTTTCTCGAGTGGTCCACGTTGTGTATTCCCAGGCTTGGTTAATTATCAAAGTCTCTGCGGTGCATCTGCCACCGTGCCAGCGAAGCACTCTACAAAAAGTCGTCACCTGTGACATCTCTCGCCTTTCTTCTTGAGGAGTTCTCACGGAGCCGAATTCGAGCCATCTTGGGGCTGTCTTGCGTTCCTATGGGGCAGTGATGGGGTCCCTCGGGGTCCCCCTCTTGGGCTGTCTTGGGACATGATTGTACCGTCTTGGGTCCCTATTGAACCATCTTGGGGCTATCTTGGCCGTCTGGGGATGCCTGGGGTGTCTTTGGGGGCCACCGTGGGGGGGCCGTCTAAGGGCATTCTTGGGCCGTCTACGGCCTACTGGCCCTCTTCGCGCTTCTTATGTCCGAAGGCCCTGTTGGGCCAGCCTGGGGCTAGCTCGGGGCCGTCCTGGGCAGTCTAGGGGCCCTCTTGGGACTCTCGGTGGGCTGGTTGGGCCTGGGGCCTGGAGAGCGTCTTGGGGGTGACTTGGGGCCTGTTGGAGGCCTCTTGGGACCTGTTGGGCGCTTCTTAGGGGCTCATGGGCGCGCCTTGAGGCAATGTTGGACTATCTTAGCGGCCTTCCTGGGCCGTCTTGGATGCCTCGGAATGCCCTGGGGTGCCCCAGGCAGGCGTCGACGCGTCCTAGGGAGCCTCGGGAGAGAGGACCGAGGATAGGTCAACCGGAAGGTTTTCGGACGTCTCTGGGCCTTGGGTGGCCTCCGAGAGCGCCTTCGTCGCCACGGCTGGATCCGCCTTGAAATGAGCGCCAGAACGGAGCCCAGGACCGACCTGGGGATCGAATTGGAAGCGTTTGGCCTGGCGCCGTGAAAAAGCACGACGGCCTTTGGAAACTTGTTTCAGGCCAGATGACAATCAAAAACTATTCAGGCTGAACGTCTGATCCTGGGGGAGGGGTCGAGTGATCGGGGGTGGCACACAGTGAAACACACGCGATGTCGGAGGTATTGGCACATGGGGTTGGAGGATAACGCCCAGTAGCCGATTTATGTGTGATGCGGTGTGGTATGGAGCCTGGTTTTCTCAATCTTGACATCGCAGGAGAACCAGTATGAGGGAGAGGGAGGAAGGAGAGAAGAAGGACGAGGCGAACGAGGAGTGCGAGGAATGTGAGGATTCGAGGCCGCAGGAGGAGTCGCATGGGCGGAGGAATCATGAACCCAAATAGTTGCAGACGCAACAGCAGTCGGAGCATGATCAGCAGCAGGAACATGACGAGGAGCAGCACCATCATGAGGAGGATAAGCAACAAGACGAGGAAGACTAGTCAAGCAGTGATTTGTGAGGAGGAGAAGAAAGAGGATGAGAAAGATCGGGGTAGGAGGTAAGAGCTTAGCGAGAGCTTATCCGGGCATCATTGTCAATCCCATCGAGGGCCCTCCTGAGGCCCCATTCCACGGCCGATCGTTGAAATTACAGAGTGGGCGTTCCTGGGGTGGGCGTCCATGTCGGGGCGAGCTTGGGCCCTTACGACGGGAAGGAGGAGGAGGAGGAGGAGGAGGAGGAGGAGCAGGAGGAGGAGGAGATGGTGGGAGAGGAGGAGGTAGGGGAGCCGCATCAGCAGGGATGGGGAGAGGACAGATGAGCAACACCAGCAGCAGCAGCAGCAGCAGCAGCAGCAGCAGCAGCAGCACTAGCAGCAGCTGCAGTAGTAGGACATGGGGCTGATTTGCTGGAAATCTGGCGGAGCCGCGTTGCGGAGCACGGCGGCCGACGTCGCGTGTATTCTTGCGGCCGGCCAAACAACAACGGCACGCGACTGGGCGCGCCAGAAGCCAGCCGAGCGAAGCAAACAATGGGGCCGATTGCACTGACAATTCTGTGCAAGCTTCCCGCATCCGGTCTTCTGGATTTCAAGTGCCCTCTCTTCGAAGTGGTTTACCGCGTTCGCGGTCTGTCTGATCCTTCGCGTAATCGCGTAAGGTCGCAGTTCTCCGCGTAAGACCCATGTGTTCTTCGTCGCTCAGATAGTCGCCCCAGACGATTCAGCTCCGGGCAGATGTCAAAACAAAAAGCCGTTCGAGACACGACGCCCGAGCGCCCGGGAGGAAGAGGAGAAGGAGAAGGGGGAGGATGAGGGCCCTTGGCTGGGGCAGCGGAGTTGTGGCGGGCTTGGCTGCCTTTTTCGACGCCTCGCTCATCGAACGGGTGCCGTCGTTGAAGGAGGCATTGGCAAAAAGGAGGAGGAAGAGGAGGAGGAGGAGGGGAAGGATGAAGATGAGGAGGAGGAGGAGGAGGAGGAGGAGGAGGAGGAGGAAGAGGAGGAGGAGGAGGGCCGCCAGTGTCCGCCCTGGCGTTTGCCACAGTTGTGGGCCCCCCTGGGAGGTGGTGACGTGCCCGCCGGCGCCGCGCATGCGCACCCCGCGCGCGCGGCCCGAAAAGAGGCCCCGCCGCGGGCCCAGGGCGAGGGCCCCCTCCCGCTGCTTGCGCCCCGCCGCCCCCCCCTGCTCTGCTCCCAAACCCAAACCTTCGGGTGCAACTCCTGGGTGGTCGAATTTTTGATTTTGCCCTGGTCCGAAATCCGGCTTAATCCGGCTTGGTCCCGCTCAATCCGGCTTCATCCCGCTTGATCCCGCTTAATCCGCGGCCCATTTTGGCGCAACAGCCCCCCAATGGGGCTTAATCATTCTTAGTCCTTCCGACGAAGACCTCCCAGTAGTTGCCTCCTAACAAATCCGTGCTTCGGTCCGGATCGTCTGCGCGCTTCGCCTCCGTCGTCGCCTTCGTCGTCGGCGCCGTCGTGGGTCTTAGTGCGTGCTTTTCTTTGAGTCGGGCACGTCCCTCTATAGGAGGGGTGTTCAAAAATGCTATGAAACATAGTCTGCGGACGATTGTTTGGTATTTTTGTATATGTTTCCGCATGTTGTTTGACTACGTGCCATTTTTCCTGGGAAAATCCGCCTGCAGGGGGACATGCCCGACCTAACCCAAATCCGTGTTTCGGTGCGGATCGTATGCCCGCTTCGCCTCCGCCTTCGTCTTCGTCGTCGGCGCCGTCGTGGGCCGTGGTGCGTGCTCTGCTCTCTGCTGGGTGCCGGCACCGCCGCTCCGTCTCGTGGATCTGCACGAACGACATGGGTACGGAAAGAATGGGCACAATGCCCAACAGCAGTTCCTGTTCATTTTGAACAGGACTCGCTGTCCGCGCCGCCGCGGCCTGTGTCCATTTGAGACAGAAGACCGCCTGCCCAGCAGCGGCCGCTGATGGTTTGGGACAACATTTGCTGTTGGGCATTGTGCCCATTTTTTCCGTGCCCACTTCGGGCGCCCAAAGGCCGCTTCCTGGGCGATGGAGAGCGGCCCGCGGAGGCAAGTTGGGCAGCAGTGCGGATGGGGAGGAGGGATCGGGCCGGACGAAAGGGGGGGAGTGGGAAAGGGGGGTTTACGAAATTTGCTGCATGCAGCTGGTTTCGGCCCCACCGAGGGGCCCATTCCTCGATACATAGCCGCCTCCAGCGCCGGGAGGCGCCGGGAAAATCAGCTACGTGAGCTGATTCTCAACCCCCCCCTTTGCTATCCCCCCCTTTCGCCTGACCCGAAGGGAGGAGGGACCGCAGAGGGTCGAAGAAGAAAAAAAACGCCATAAACATCAACTGCTGGCGCTCCGCGCGGATTTCTTGGATCTGCGCTGGACCCCCCTCCCTGGCGCGCTCCGCGCGCCAGGGACGGCGCCGGAGGCGCCGCCGAGGGGGGCCAGCGCAGATCCAAGAAATCCGCGCGGAGCGCCATTTAGGTTTATGTTTTTTCCTTATTCTAGGCCCGCGGAGGCAAGCTGGGCAGCAGTGCTGATGGGGAGGAGGGAGGAGGGACCGCAGATGGACCAAAAAGTGCAACCCTTGATTATGAGGAAAATCCTGGAAGCCTCGCGCGGCGCGTAATGGCATGTTTATCTTGTCCACACGTCAGCTCCGTAAGGTATTGGTGGACGTTTGCGCGACGATGCTTCCCGGCGTCAGTCCGACGTAAATCCGACGTGAACCCGACGTAAATCGGGTCTTAAGTTGCCGCGCGAGGCCTGCAGGATTTTCTTCACAACCTTGACACTGCGCCCCACGTCCCCCCAATCTCGAAGCTGGCCCCAAGCATCCGGCAGCACAGGCGTGAGAGGACAAATAAAATATGTGGAGCCCCCTGTGGAACCCCCGGGGCCTCCGGGAGGCCGAAGCCAACTTTGACATTGGGGGGAGAGGGTGGGGGGGAGGGGCGAACGCGGGGTCAAAGGCGAAGGGGTTCCACTTTTCTGCAGGAGGGGGGAACGACAACCCCCACGGGGGCGGCGGAGGTGCTGCGGCTGAGCCGAAGCAGGACAGTGCGCGGGGACCTGCGGTGACGGACGTCGGGCCGGCGAGCGCGACCACGGGGGCCGAGGACGGAGGTCGATGCGAGGGCCCGAGGACCGAGGGCAGGAAGATGATCGAGGGGTAGAGGCGGCTCGCGGGACCACTCGTCGAAGCTCCCTGTGAGAAGAGGGAGGGCAGCAGGGGGGCAGAGGTGGGAGGAAAGGCGCGGAAGGTGAGATGCCCTTGGCGAGTGGTGAGCGCGCGAGACCCTCGGTTCGGGAAGTAGACTTAGGTCGGGCACGTCCCTCAACAGGAGGGAAAATCCCAAATCTGTCAAAATATAGCATGGGGGCGATTTTGGGGGCAGTGTAGAATTGTATTTGATTTGCTGTTTGACTATGCAAAAAAATAGTATGGGGACGATGTTTTGAGCATTCTTGGGCTATTGTAGAATGTGCTTGGGTTTTTCTTTATATAAGTCCTACAAAATCCGCCCTGTAGGAGGACACGCCCGACCTACATGTAGAGCGCCCGTTTTGGGAGATAGACGCGTCCCTCGTCACAGCGCCGCATGATCTCCGCGTGCTAGCTGGCATTGTGCACGGGCGAGGGGGCGGCGCCATTGGGGGTTCACGCCCGCATCTGCGCCCAGCTTGGCGGGACCTGTCAGGTAGAAAGCCAGGCTGCCATGCTTTTTCATGGTCCCTCCCTCCTGCTCCTCCTGCTGCAGCTCCTGCTGCTCTCTTCCTCCTTGCTCCAGGAGGCCTCAGGAGACCCGAGGAAGACCCAGGGAAATTCTAGGGTGTCCCAAGACATAGATGTTCCCGGAGGCCCCGCTGGGCACAGGAGGCTCCAGGAAGCCCCCAGAGGCCGCAAACATCTCCAGGAGGCCGAAGGAGGTTCCGTGAGGCCCTGAGCCATGTGAGGCCCAAGGATGCCCCAAGGTCCCAGGGTGCTCCAGGAAACCCAGGGGGAGCCCAGAAGCCAAAGGATGCCCCCGCATGCCCTCAACACGTCCAGACCTCGGGGGCGGACAAGAGGGGGGTGATAACTACTCCAGGGGGGGGGAGATCATGGCGAGGGCCATGATATCTCCCCAGATATCATGGCGCCTCTTCTTGTTTTAATACGTCCCCGGCACCCCCCCTTGGGCCACGCACGTGCCGCCAGCCATGATTTGTGCCCCCCCTTCCTGGACGCCCCCCTCCTGGCCCCCCCTCGAAGACCAGCCATGCTCAGAACAAGTAATTCTCAGACCCACTTACAGTGCTCCTCTCAGGCGTACCCAGTCACGCATGACCAGCATCACCCAGACCCATAATGACGTTCAGTTGGTCGCTTGCTGATACTCCCTCGTGACCAAACTCACGCATTCGTTGGTAGCCGCTCGTACTCCCAAACCCAAGTTTGCGCATGTCCACTCGTATTGCGAAGGCCGTACGGCTGGTGCTGCCGACCTTGCAGGGGGACAACGACAACGACGACGAAGACGACGATGACGCTCTGGAGCCGAAAGCTTCTCCCAGGGAGGGGTGCTCCCCCCCCAGGATTCGGTCGAGCGTGTCCTCCTACAGGCGGATTTTGGACGAAAAATAAAGAATGTTCAAGAAATACCGAAATGATCCGAAAGTGGCAACAAAAATCGTCCACTGATTATTTTTAAACTATGTTGGGGTATCCCTCCTGTAGAAGGACGTGCCCGACTTAACCCCTGGACCCCTCCCCCCAGCAAGCCCCCAAGGCCCCCCCGCCCCCCCGCCCCCCCCCCCGGCGGGGGAGAGATCTCAGAGCGAAGGGGCTTCCAATCGATTCGATTACGATTAAATCGGGCATGTCCCTCTACAGGATGAAAATTCCAAAATAGGTTTAAAATCGTCGGTGGACGATTTTTGTTATTATTATTGTTTGACCACGTTGGGCATGTTCATTGTTTTATATTTCGCCCAAAATCCGCCTGTAGGGGGACCTGCACGACCTAAGATTACGACCTTGGTCGGTTTCCCTCTGTCCGAAACGCTTGAGGAGGAGCGGCGACGACGATGACGACGACGACGACGACGACTCAAACAGAAAAGTTTTTCACACGCAGGCAGGTCTGGCGTATTTCGATTCAAGCGTACCCAATCACTCATATTCAGATTCACCCATCTTCAGTCTCATTCACAACCAATATTCGCTCGAACTCAGATTTACTGAGACTCAAATTCACTTAAGACCAGGCCCACTCATGCAGGGCCGCTCATGTGAATAGAACCCGTGTAATACCCTCATATATACTCCTTATCCTCACTCTCCTGCGCCTGGCCGTTTGGGCTCAGGTATTGGAATAGATCGATCAGGCCTTTGATCGTGCAGGAGGAACAGATATCCATACTTCCTTCCTTTCCTCTACCAACGGATCCGGGGTTCTGTACCTTTGTACTCCAACCCCATACACAGGTTACCAGCTTTTAAAGCTCACAGTTCATCGAACCCCGCGTCGCGATCTCGCACGCGGCCTCGATGGAACCCAAGCGGCGCATGCGCCGTAAGGGGTCCGTCGGGGCCTCGCGTCCGAGCTCTCCGACGGCGCGACGGCTCGGTGTTGAGTTGGAGAGCCTTAGTGTGGACCGTGTGGGCGTCCCCGATACCCCCCCCCCCCAGCTCAGACGGACCCGAGGCGCGGCTAGCTGCTGAACTTCACCGCCACGCCGCCCGCGGGGGGGACAGGAAAAGGAGTAGGAGCAGGCAATCGAGAGTTTCACACGCCTACCTTCGATCCTCCATCTCCTCTTCCGTCGGGGGCAATCCCACTTGCGTCGGGCGCCAGCCCCGCTGGTCCCGATACTCCAGGGCGCTTCCGCGCTACCCGCCGATGGAACACAGGTAATGGCATGACCAGCCCTGCGACCGTTCCTGTAGCGGAGCACGTTGCTGCCTTTGAGGAACTCGGTAGACCAGTGGCGGCACAGCCGCAAACGCAGCACCCCCAGGTATCATCTCATCAGACACCACACGCCCGCACGGCCCTAGCCGCAGCTCGTCCTTGCGTAACCGTCGTGGGGCCACAGGCCCATACGACGAGACAAGGTCGAGCCAGCGTGCCGCCTCTCAGAGGCCATGCGCTCCTCGCGAGAGGATGCAGAGGGGAGCTGACGCTCCCCACCTCTCTCTCTCTCTCTCTCTCTCTCTCT